TTTTACATATTTCTCTTCTGAAATCCCTCCAGACTTCTCCTCAGATTTCTCTTCAGAAATCTGAAGAAGACAAGCCCTGCTCTTCTAATAATGATGGGACATCCTCCTCCCAGCCAAGGGCCTCTGCTCTCCTGCTATGGCCCCTGCTAGCAATCTTCATGGGCTTGAGTGAGGAAAGTCTTTCAAAATTTTAATACATCTATCCCTGTTCAGGAAAGCACTGGAGTCAGGGACATTTGAATCCACTTGCAAACACCCTGTACTGTCAGTGAACTTTTGTAGAAAATGCGTGTCATACCCACAAGGGCAACAAAGCAGAGGAAGAGTAACATAACTGGTGGGACTTTCATGTTTGTCTAAGGTTTTAAATAGTCCATATTTTTATATCATATGACTTATAAAATGATATTTGTTCATGTAATTAGAGACTGTACTGTCCCAAAGCAGCCAAATTGAGACACTGTGTGCAACACGAATGTTGTTGTTTCCTGGTATCTGCTTAAAATATATTCCTAATTCATTTTTACAGGTTTATTTCCTCCATCTTATTCAATATTCCATCATATTTTAAAAAGTAAAAAAAAATACTAAGAGAGGAAAAAGATAAAGCCAAATTTCTAGCTATGGCAATGACAATCCTACGTATCTCAAAGGAGAAGGTTTTTTCTGCATACTCTGGGAGTTAAAACCACAACAAGACAACATCAGCAACAGCCATTTCTAGCTTTGCAGAACCCGACCACAGTCTGAACTGCCATCAGGAACTCAGACTGTCCCACCAAACACTTCCCACCAGTCAATCCCCAAGTGAATTAAGAAGGAAGGCAAGTATTACTGAACCATTTCACAGTCAAAGGTCCTGCTTCTCAAAAAATTGAAGGGAGATACCTTGAGGAGAGAGGTCAGGAGCAGTAAAGTCATTGAACAGCACAAGGCTCACTCAAATCCCAAACGAGGTGATGGTTCCCATTACTCCTCCAAAATGACCAGACAATGATAAATCAGATTCCAGTTTCATTTTGATTTCAAGCTGACCTCATGTGACTGCATATTGCACCTCCTGTAAAAAAAAGCAAGAGCTTCCCTCAGGCTGTCCCAGGAAGGCCTTGTCCTGAAGCTGTTGCAGGGAAGCCAGCTGTAGGAATTGTTTTTCTATGACAAGCACACGATGTGCAGAGCAGCATGTTTGGCTCCAGAACCCGGTGAAAAGGCAGGATGCGGGAATTGCCTCCCACTCTGGGCGTGAACCCAGAACCACATCCTCTCTCTCAGGAATGACCCACTGTTTTCTCCTCTGCTGCCTACTACGGACCATGAGGATAGTGGGCATCCCACTCGAGCCTGAAGGGGATTGTTTACCCTGTCATGAATACCATGCCTGGGCAAAATGGAACTCAATAGCAGCCCACAAGTAGTCAAATCCCAGCCTCTGTAACCAGAGTGCAGAGATGTACTCCTTCTCTTCCTATCCTGCTGCAGTGCTCTGCTTCTGGTAGCTCAACCATGTGCTCTCCA